TGTTTTCAGAATTAAATGTTTTGCTAATAAAATAAAATCTCTATTGCTAGGCTATTACAAATATTTATGCTATTGGAAATTGAAAATCAACAGAGATGCTATGCAATTTTTAAAAGCCCCTGCCACATACCTGTTAGTCCAGTGATGATATAAATAATCCTGAGACAGAGAGCCATATTGATAAGTGAGCAGACAAAACCGTATAAACTTCCTATTTTTCAACCCTGAGTATGTCACTGCCACTGCAGTTGCAATCACTCTTCCTTCTATGTAAAACACTTCACAAAAGTGAGCTGACAAAGGACCAGCCCCTCCCCTATCTTCACTGTGCGCTTATGCACGTTGTAGGAAAACTTTAGTTTGGAAGAAGTGGCGAAAAGGTGGAGCTTGAAAACTGAGAGAAAACAACAAAAAGTAAGCTAATAATAGTGTGTCAAATTTACCGACTTGTTAGCTGTGGGGCTGTTACCGCATGGTGAACAGTAGTACCAGTAACACCTCGTAACCAGGTCTCATAATGTGGTGGATTTTTGTATGACATGTATACCTATATACACTATATATCTGCATTGAACATATACTGTAACTTTGTATGTAGAGTCTTAGGCACGAGATGTTTTTCCTTGACACGCACCCACGCACAATAAACGTTTTTCATGCAGCACATTCAAAAACATGTCTCTTAGAAAATAGTAACATGGTAACAGAGATACTGAAAACAACATCATGAAATCACTGTAAAGATTATGTGATCAAGTACACACACACACGAACACATAATATATATTAACCCACACTGGAGTGTTTATCACTATATAAAGCATTTAACCCATATATTTGATGTAGTTAGGTGAAGTATTATACACATGTATATCGTAAGATTATCACAAGAAACTATGCTATTTGCTGTACTAATGTGTGACCTTTGACTATTGTTGTGGAAAATTTAACAATAACCTGCAACACAACCAGTGAGCTTGATTTGAATTGGGTTTAATAAACACATTGCAGTGTGGAGAGAACATCCCAGTGAAACACCAGGACCATCTCTGAATTGTGGCCACCGCCCTTACATCTTATATACGCAGACACAGACACTCTTAAACAAAGAACATTCCACAGCAGATCAATTATTAGCAGATCCTTAACTATTCAGTGTAAGAAAAGCTCCGACCAACCGTCACCTCATCTGCAACAGGATGTCCAGAGTCCTCAAGAGGAAAATGAGTCTGCTGTGAAGGTGCAATAAAACTTGGGCCCCACTTATGATCACATTCCACATGCAAACAAACTGGTGACAGGAGTACTCTTACTATACTAAAGTGATATAGTTGAAATATGTGATTAATACATGAGAAAAGAAATCTGCCACCACACTATGTTGTGACCTACTGTCAGAAGACAAAGCAAATGGTTAAACTTAGGCTACGTTCACACTGCAGGCGAAAGCGCATCAAATCCGATTTTTTTGACCCTATGCGACCCATATCCGATCATGGTATGAC